ATTCACAGGCGCTGGATATACGCCGCTCTTTCTCCATTCTTCGCCACTTCCCGAACGAAATCCTGATCCACATATTTACGATGTACGTGGAAGCCTATCGGGATGATCCATCAATACGGCGGCGGAGCGGTTTACATTGGTGCCCCGGGCCCATGATACTGAGTTATGTCTCGGCGCGATGGCGGGCGATTGCTCATAGCACACCGCGGCTCTGGAATAACCTGCACATCAACATACCGCCCCTTCCGCAACAAATCCCTCCGGATTTTGTTGAAGAGATCATCAAACGCTCATACCCGCACCAGTTCAACGCACTTGTGTCTTCCCGATACGACCCTGATGACTACGAGAAGTACACATCCCCAATTCTCGGTCAACTCCTTGGCGCACCAGGGTGCGTCGATCGGCTTGCCTATCTATGCCTCACTGTGGCGACATCTCACTTCGTGGACGTCCTCGAGCGCCCTCCGCCGGTCTTCACCGCTCTTCACACTCTGCGTATCACTCAAGCTGGGCGCATAAGCTACCATAATAACAATGTTGTCATTGATGATATCATTGATATGTTCCGGCATGCTCCGAGACTGCGCCGGCTAGCGGTTGTCGTCAGGGATCATGCCGGTTCACACCACAGTCCCTACTTTCGCAGACCTCCCCTATTTCCATGGCCTCAGCTAGAGGATGACTTTCAATGCGCAATAAATGTGTATCTCATTCATTGGCTCTTGAATCAAGCCTCTTCTCTTCAATTGGCAACATTCAACTCGATTGGATATCATGGCGGTGAGCCAGGATGGCTTGAAACATCTGCACTGTCGACTACCATAGTATTGCCCCATCTTTCCCATTTGACATTGCGAGGCATGGGTGTGACCCTCAATGATTATCCACTGCTCCACTACCTCACTCTTCCTGTGCTCAAATCACTGGATTTGTGTGGGATCGGGTCTCCCATTGGGCTGAATGTAATTGGGGATCTCCAACAGCGATCGGGCTTCAGCCTTATCTCACTTACACTTCGTGATGGCATTGACCATGAATTGGTTCACGCTCTTCTCGGCAGCAACCCAGCCATCAGAATGCTCTCTGTGCACGAAACATATGACTCTGGCTTGTTTGAGACCATTAACTACAAGCATCTGCCAGTGCGCAACTTGATCTTTGAAGAAAGGCCAACATATCTTCTTCCAGGTCTCCGCCAACTTACAGTGACGATGACACACTGGCATGACCCGCAGGACGAGTGGTCAAGTTCTCTTCAGGAGAATGGTAACCAACTGGCCCACATGCTTCAGTCCCGCTGCCTAGACAAGTTGCCAGACCCAACACTATTGCGGTTGGAAGTGATTGACTTGTATATTGATGGGGCCATCATGTCTGTTGAGGCTGAAGAGATTATTGCCAATTTGAGCCAGATGGGCCTGTTGAGAGATCATCTGCAAAGAGATGAACCCCATCACAGTTTGGAACCTAGTGCTGAGTCAGACTGGGAGGAAGAAGAGGAAGAGGAGACAAGTGGTGATGATACAAAGGGGACAAGTGATGAGTTGGAGGATTCTGGAGATGATTCAGAGAGTGACTGGTATACTTGAATAAATATTGAATTGAATATACCATCAATATATTATCTCTTGGGCTGATCACTTAATCATGATGATGTATATGTGTGAATGTTCCATGAAATTAGGACAATATTATGCGCACAGAATACTCAAATATGTATATAAACTAAGGCTGGTTTATAGGAAACATATGTTGAAAGAGAACTAAAAGTTCATAAATTCATTTTTTTCTTCAAGAAAGAATCAAAAAAATATTTTGCTACATTTTGTGTGTCACATATACCTTAGGCTTTTCACCAGCCAAGATCAATACTTGAATGATAGTTTTTTCTCTGATTTAAAACTTCCAAAGAATTTACATATTATTTGTAGAAGAGATTGATCTACTGATGAGAAGAATCTGAGAACAGGTTCAAATATATATATATATATATATATATATACTTCAGAGGAGGAGCTAAAGAGAAGAAACTCCAAGGGTCTGCCTGCTAAGTAGCTGAACTATATATTGCAGTCTTGATGTCACAAACAACACCAATTCAGAGGATGCCAGTTGGCCAGTGAAGGCAAGCAAGAAGCACCGTGAAAGGATATCGTAAAGATGATGGAATTCGAAGACTGGGGTACAAGACGAAATTTACTTTACTTATATACACTACTACCATATGTTTACCATGCCTAATACAAGAGGCAATGACATCATACTTTAGCCATGCTGTGACGGTTCGGGTCGGGCCTATACGGCCCGACGGGCCCTCACCACCCTTAGGCCATCGCGGGCCCGTAGCACGCACCACGTGACGACAGGGAACATGCGCCCCAGTAGGAGGAACGCACACGTGGGAAGCACGTGACCGAGAACGACGCGTCGAGCCGTCGCCGAGCCCAACTCGATACAAGGCGATAGGGGAGGAGTGCTAGGAGGTTAGGAGTAGCACCTGGCCCGCAAGGGATGTCCGATCATCCCCTCTGCGGCTAGGAACGGGAGAAATGGGGGAGACTCAGAAGCGTCCGGATGTCCGATCATCCCTTGCAAAGGCGCGCCTGGGGCAACAGGCGATGGGGAGGAGTGCTGGGAGGTTAGGCGCAGCGCCTGGTCTGCATGAGGTGTCCGACCACCTCCTCTGCAGCCAGGAACCGGGAAGGGGGAGAACCAGAAGAGTGTTGGGGGTGTCCGATCATCTCTAGGCAGAACGTGACTGGGTAGAGGGCGGAAGATGAGAAGTGGATATCGACCAAGCCCTTCAAACAAGAAGGCACCTACATGCAAATGACGGAATTTTTTTTCAAACCGGAATTGGATACGGAAATCGACATTAATATTTCTCAACAATCGGAATTGGATACGGAAATTGGACCATAAAACTCGGGACGAGTTTCACCTAGTGGGGGGGTGATGTGACGGTTCGGGTCGGGCCTATACGGCCCGACGGGCCCTCACCACCCTTAGAGCCCTAGGGCTTGACAAGCCATCATATATTCACAAGCTCAAAGCACTGAGCAACAACACTAATATTCCAGAGAAGGGACATAATAACGGATCGCGCTTTAGTCAGCCATCAAGCCATCATGACCCGCCATCAGGGATCATGATGCGCCGCCGGACGCCCTTGACAGCGGGCCCAATCGGCCCCAGACAACCACAGGGATCAGGAGGGAGCTCCTCACTGTTGCATTGCCAAACACTCCTTAGTGTCGACTTTGGCATGGCTCCTTTCCAGAGGAATGGTCCCTGGGCTCCTAGCGGAGCGACCAGGGACGACCAGAGACATCCCCTGCTCCATTTTGATCGACCCTCAGCGGGCCCGATCGGCCCCTAGCGCCCACAGTATATAAAGACTACAGTATTACTCCTGTACCTTAGGTTTAGCATTGAAGTCTCTTCCTTTGAACCCTACTCCGGCCTGGTCCCCTAGAGCGGGGTTGCTGCGACCATACCCCAGGAAAGGGGCGTCTAGACGACTTCCAACACTCCAGGCTAGCTTGCCTCATTGACCTGAGCCCTTGGTTGGGCTGGACAGCTCAGGCTCTTGTCTCTTATGTTCACCCTTGTCCTAGCCACTTCTTCTTGCTCTCTGGCCTCAAGCTCTGGGTTCCCCTGGTACGGGCGATGGGAGGGTGCGGGCCCGATCGGGCCCGCATGTCACGCGTCACACCGCGCAGTCACGCGGTGTCTAGGAGCCACAGCGACTCGTTTCTCCAGGAAAGGAGATATGTCGCCCCTTGGACTGGCAACCCTTCTCAAGCGCTCCAGGGGTCTCGGGCCCGCAGCCCCTGTTGCGGGGCGACTCCCCTCGACCCCCTGAACCGTCGGGCGTGACCGCGTTACGTCACGCCCCGCCCGAACAGCTTGTTCAACTGGCTGAGCCTATGCTTCCCTATGCCTTGGGCACCAACTCTACTAGGGCCCTGTTCCTGACACATGCCTTTTCGTGCTGTTTGTCTCATGTCCAACTCCACGCTGTCAATCAACATCAGCATCGACATCTGATGATCCAATCACCATCTTATCATCCATCCTATCTCCTCCTTGTATTATCTTATCAACCAGGGCCAAAATAAAAGGTTTAAACAGCGAAGAAAAAGGTTTCTTGAACCCAAGGTTTGACACTTGACACACCAACTGTCATCATTGCTCCCTAGGGGGTGATGTGATCACCGGAATCAGAATGCAAATTGGTGAACCAAAGGGGAGGTTCCCTGACAAGCCAGATCAGAATTTTTGAAGACTATTTTTTGTGTCTGCTGATAACTCTATTTCTCTTGATTTATTTCCTTTGTAAATTTATTTCAGCAAAAAAAAAAAAATCAAGTATTTACTGTAAAAACTATAAAAAAGAAAACTCATATTTTATTCAATGATTTTGACTAGCACAAAAAAGATTTGATAAGAAAAAAGGTCAAGCAATATTTTTCCCAAACTTAAAATCTGTCTTTTAGTTTTCCTCCTATGAATAGCATTAGCAAGAGCATAATATTGTCACAAAATGAAAGTTATCAATATAAACAACATGACAAGCCAACTTAGTGAGTAACAAGGTCATTCCCTGTACTGACTAAGTCTATTTGAATTTTGGGGCCGATACCCAGTGGCCCCACCCTAAGTGCATCCTGTTTTGTGGGTAAACATATCCTCAAATGGAGCTTTTGACCTATTGGGTACAAATTGAGACCTAAGCTTGAGAAACATAACTTTGAAGTGTGCAATTGTGTCATCAGGAACTTGCCTGGCAGACAGATATTCCTGTTAGATGAATTTCATTTATATAAGTCCTAGTGTATCAATGGAGAAGATCCAAACGACTGGCCATGCTGCCTTGCAGCACTGGCTACATACATATACACTGATGAAACCCAACTGCTCTAGTCTTCAGAATCCCAAGTCATACAGTATCGGCAATCCCATCATATTATTACAACTTTATGAAACAGGCGTGATCACACTGACATCGTGGGTTGAGAGGCAGACGACTTTGCCGCGTTGCTCGTTTCCGTACCGGGTATACTGGTGCTTGCGTCCGTCCGCAGCGGCAGCGCAAGCCGGCGGGCGATGCCCTGCCGTTGCTGCAACTCAGTCGCATCTGATATGGCGGGCTGGAACGCATCAGCATCGCACAAACACGAAGAGAGCCGCGCTAGCTCACATTGACGAATTCCTGCTCAATGGATCAACCGAGACCACGATGATATAGGAGAATGAGAGGACTCACGAGTGCGGAGGCATGCACATGTGCTTCGCGGTCGGATGGCGTCGGCTCAAAGAGGACATTCGTCATGAATGGCGATGCACGGTGTTCTTTCCAAGGGCGGGAGTTGAGTCTGGGAAGCCAACTGTGAGAGGTTTCGCCGATGAATAGTTCGTGGGGCACTGACGAACTAAGGAGCGCATTGGAGTACAGCTTGCTGAGCGCAAAGTCCCAGATGAACTGACTAAGACGCCGGTAAGTTGCGGAGATATGCAGACGAAGATGACTGACAGGGTTGCGCTCTAGAAAATACGCAATTGAGTAATGCTTTCCCCAGGTTCGGAGAGAAAGGACAGGAACGAGAAGCAAAACTGACCGGAGCGAATAGAAACACAAACAGGTCCAACAGCGCTGCGATCGCCGTGATCGCGCCCGTCTGGATCGTCACTGGCCCGAAGCACATCAGAACAACAAATTGACGGAATGGCAACCCACGGCGGATGACGCGGTCGACATAGCGGTCTGTGGGGCCCACGCCTGTCTTGCGGACATACTAGCATAAATCAGATCGGTTTGCATCCCGATTCCCGAGCGCGGGACGACAGACCAGGGAGTAAATCAGCACCCCACTGAGAACGACATCGCAGGCGGCGCTCGCGGCGAGCCACGTGGTGACGAACGGGCGGAAGCTGTTGAATTGCGCATAGGCGGGCTGGAGCGACACCTTGATTGTTACGGACATCCCACCAGCTGGGCCGGCCGTGAGTCTACAGTTGATGATTGAGAAGGATGTGTACCGAAAGAGACCAAGGCAAGGACGGTGATGATAAGCGGGAACGGCCAGCGATGTGTTAGGGATTTGATGCGCCAAGCCATGAAGAGTTGGATGGGGGTGGAGATGGCGACCTGGGAAAGGTCCAAAGGAGAACAGAAGAGAGTGAAAAACACACACCGTAACCGCTGCATCTGTAGGATATAACGGGAGTTAATCATTGATTATCTCATTCAAGGTCGTATATACCTGGCCGAAGAACTGCACGATATAAGTAGATAAAAGTGAGAATTGAAACATCACTCACAAAACGGGGACTTTTGAAGCACTTCGGGCTTAGCTACGAACCAATCGTCAGCGTCAATGAACGCTAGGAACTGGAAAAAAACGTACCCCATCCCGCGACGAGTGGCTCGTATATTAGATTGATGTCAAATACAGTATTGGCGGTCTCCGCGACGAAGAGGAAGACCGTCTACAACATTTACTGAGGCTGCAATAGATGGAAGACGACACGCACAAAGTAACGGACCCAAACACGGTCACTGCTCGAATTTATCAGCGTGTGGACGGGACGGCGGAAAGAGTACAAGTAGGCGCCTTTTGTATCGGTCGTAGTAGATAAAGAGCTGAAAATCGTCGTCAGAAATCCTGGCTGCCCGATTGCCAAGGCGCGTACCTGCACCACAAACACCTTTCCCTCTCGTTAGCCGCTTGACATGGGCACAGAAACGAAGCGCACCCCGTACAGAATCGCGTTGAAGATGACCCCAATGAGCATGGGCCCAAATCTAGCGTGTTATCAGCCACGAGGCAGCAGGCTATAAAAGATAACGCACAAGAGCCGCACGTCCGGCGCATCCCCGCTGGCCACTGACATTCCCTGGCACAGCCGAACCTCGACTCGCAAGGCGGAGCGACGATTAGCGGGGGGAAGAGAAGGGGATCGACAGCCCCCATTGATCTGCAGCCCGCTATATGAGCAAATGAGTGGGGCATTACGGCCACGAAATTGCCACTGACACTGGCACATGCGCCGTTCCCAGGACCTAGGCCCAGCGGGACGCTTCTTTATCGAAGGTGCGGCTTCGACTTCGCTGATGGCCTCCCGAGGCGTGGGCAGAGCGAGTCCGGGGAAGCAGGTTGTGTGTCACAGTGGAGCCATGGTCGTTGGTCGTTGGCTGTTCCCGCCGAAGGGTGCGGACGGAGAGCGACCCTATGCTAAGTATGGAAGGGTGTTATCCAGTGAGAACGCTGTAAGATGCTTGTCGTCCGCGGCATGATTGGCCGCCACCGTAGTAGTCAGCCTCATTTGCCCCGTCATGCCGACAGAGTACTTGCCACTGCCAGTGTACATACCCGCAACCAGTTTCAGCGCCGTTTGGGCAGAATGCAGCAGGAACGCACCTAAGCAGCAGGACATCGACCCTGGTGGCGCCAGCCACAACGCTGTTCCCGCTGCCGCTCTGGCGGCATCTGTCCATCGAGGAAAATCAGGAGGCTGTCAGGATTTCAGCGTCGATGACGTGGCAGCCAAAGAGATAAATGTCCTGTATCCACGAGACCGACCGGATATTGCATCGAGGCCAGATAGATGCACGCGGGAGAGTCCGCGGCGGCGATACCCTGGCGTCCGCTGAGAAGCGCACGCATCATGGCCGTCCGTGAAGAAGCATGTCACGCGCGCACACGTGTGCCTGTCACGGGTTTACGGCACTCTTTTCTTCGTTTCCTCGACCCACGATCTTGAGTGGATGGTGTCCCCCGGAGCCGCTGGGTGAGGTCGGGCATGCGCCATTTGGCGCCACATCGGACCGCCCCCGGCCGTAACGTGCGCCTCAAGTCCTTCCGCGCGCGGTCGACAACCACGACTTGCCTCGGAGCCGGCTGGGACGACAACGAGTGCTGGGCGTTGACGAAGAAAAGAGACTGCCAGTGCGGGAGCGGGTGCCCATATGTGCGCCGTTGAACAGCGGTGCGCCATCGGCTGGCAGCGCTACTGACGTCCTCCAAGTTGCGTTGCAGATACTCACTCCGCTCTCATTTCTATTGTGGATAGTAGATACCGAGATGCGGGCCTCGAAACACCAACCCATCGCCCGCGGACACCGCCGGCGCCCACATCAGCCAGCTACATTCCCTGCACGTCCCCAGACTATCAGGGTCCCACAACGACTCGACCGCAAGATTATGGCCCCTGGGGGATGCTTTCGACTGCCTCTGTGGAAACCCTAAAATCCTCGTCGTCGCCGCTTATCCGAACATCTCATTGTTCTGCGAATATCCTTGCTGCTAAGTCGTACGCGTACGGGTATTGTCTACAACAATGTTGCTCTACCACCCGCTTCCTTGCACCCAACGGCCCTCACAATGACGCCGCAACGCACACAAAGCCGACACTGCTTCAGGATGCTTCAGGATGTGGAGCCCCCGAACTGGGACTTGGCGTCGAGGAAAACAAAAAAAATTGGCATCGTCACCGCCCCCATGATTGACGTGGCCGTGACGTCATCGTCGGTTTTTCGGCCGCCCCTGTCTGCCGCGCGTTGACTCACAGAAGCCTTGGCCCGCCCTTGGCTGCGCCGATCGCGCGTCATGGGACCCTGGGGCACCGCCCCTCCCGTCTTGACTCCGCGCACTTGAATGGGCGCGCTCAGGTATATATACGGCCGGCCCCTCTTGCGTGCCACGACTCTTTGCTTCTTGCGCACCCCCTCCCCCTCGCCGCTTCCACCAAATCTCACAGACCCATCCCACCTCTGAAACACCCCCATGTCCGACCGCCCGCGCCCGCTCACCACGCGCCAGTCGTGGATCTTCTTCGGCGTCCTCCTCGGTGCGTGCCTTCCTCTCCATTCGGCGTGTCTTTGCGGCTGACGACCAGCAGCCATCGTCCTCCTGCTCGTCGGCACGTGCGCGATCTGGCGCCGCCGCGCGATGGCCCGCCGGCTGCGCGCGTTCTTCAATAACCAACGGGACCGTGACAGCGACAGCGACCCGCTGAGCCCGCGCCGGCTCGAGAGCGGGGAGTCCGGCGACAGCGCGAAGTACGTCTACGCGCCGCCCTATAGCCCCGCGCCGCTCGAGGGCAAGTCGGGCACGCAGCCCCCGCCGCCCGCCGCCGCCCACCTTTCCGTGCGTCCCAACTAGTGCTCTGCCCTCGCAGACGACTGACCGGTCTGCAGCCGAGCGCGAGCGACTTCAAGACCTCTGTTTAGCTTTCTTCGCCTTCCCGAATACGAATATGAATGTAGCCTTGAGGGGCGGCATACGAATATGAAAGCTGTTGCTGTGAAGCCTGCAGCGACGACTCTGACGGACTGTCTTGTACCTTGTATCGTGACACATAATTGTATTACCAAGACATTCGATTTGACTTGCGCACTAAATGTGCACTGCATCCTCCTATCGTTCGTCGTGGCAAGTGCCGAGCCGATTGCAGCGCAGCAGGCGCGGCAAGGAGGAAGAGCTCAAGCTTGAGGTCTGATGAAATCAGGATAGCAACTCCACAAGAGACATCTAAAAAATCCTTGTAAAATATTCCAAGGTCAAGAACTACATAATCGCTGGCTAACAATGATAAATTCAATACTTCAACAGGATAGAATTTTAACTGATAAAAATAAATTTGATAAATTGGCTATTTACCACCAAGTAGTAGTACTAAATACTTGGAGTGGACTTCTGCTGGATGAAGACTCCTTGCCAGACCTAAGGAGTTGCTGATCGGACCCATTTATACAAGAGTGCCTGAGGTTGGACACTTTTGCAACAATGAACTTGTTGCATTTGGAGCAGATCATATAGTGACTAGAGAACTCCCAGTTCCGAATAGGATAGACCTCTGGCCCATGATTTGAGGCATGAATTATATCCTGGGTCTGTCAGCGAAGCTGCTCCTCGGGAATCTCTGTGCCTGGTCGGTATTGGTCCAATGCTGCTCGAGTTCATTGGGCGTTGGCAGATGCCTCTGCCGTTCTACCCTCAGCACCCGCAGAAAGACGAATGCTGACCCCGTCTTTCAGAGCCATGAACCACATTGCGAACTCGGGGCTCCCAATCCGTCGACCATACGACTCGTAGTCGTGGTCCAAGCCAAGGCTGGCAAGATATTGGCTCCAATCAACAATATTGGCAAGCTGGAGAATGCGCTCTGGGCCTTGAGGAGCAGTGACCTCTCCGCGTGGTCGATGGTGGCGAACATAGTTATCGGCAAATGAGTGGGTTGTATCGGTTGCAGGAGTAGTATCGGTGTTGGTCTTGATAGTGCTTGCTAGCGTTTCAAGATAGCCAGCAGTTAATTGACTGAGAAACAATGACGGCTTTAGCTCGTTCAGTATGGCGCTCGAAACGGGGAAAAAATATCCCCAGGAGAGAAACCTGTATCCGAGGACTTACCTGTTGCGATCCGAGAACTTTCGTCATTTTATATGACAATGTCTCGGAAGACTAAGCCGCGAGAACTTGAACCCTCCGACAACTCAGTATTCCGAGACATGGGAGTGACTCCCGACAGCTTGTCGCTTCCGACAACTCAGCAATGTCGAAGATTTGATGCCCAATATTAATTGCAATATGTCATTCTTTGCCAATTTAAAATGAAGAATCAGGGAGGATTCTACCTCAGGCTAGTCTTTACTATACTAGTAGCACTCAGATTGGGCAACAGATAAATAGCATAATGCATAATTATCCACATTACCTTTAGTATAAAATTTATCTGTGCAATATCATTGATAGACTGATATTTACATCATAATTTCTCAATGAATTTGGCTGGAACTAAACAGAACAATACATAATTATCCATGCTACCAGGATAGAATGTTTGCAACTTGAAAAAATTATACTTGTGGATTTTTCTGAAATTTCTTGGTAATTGCCTTTCTTGAAAGTGTGAGTTGTAGACAAGACAAAATAGTTGCTCCTAGGTTCAATATTCAGGGTGAAAGCGGGCAAGATGGAGTGCTGGACCAGAGTCAAGACCGGAATTGGAATCATCTCTGAGCAAGGGGGGAGGGAAAAAAAAATTAAGGAACATACGCACTAAAAAAAATTTAAGGGCTCACAGTCGGACTGACCGACCGTGACATGCGTGACAATTGCCTATCTAGGCAGGTAGTTCACAGGATCATGTGATTGACTCACCTGGAAATAATTTTCACAAACTGTTGAGCTATGTCTAGCCACTCATTATGGCTGCTATAAGGAAAGAATAGCCATAGGATTGGACTTGTGTTCACAGTTCAGGACCTAGATATGTGAATGTGAGATGTACCAGGTCACAAATGTGACAATACTTGCCAAATATGGAAGTTCATTAATGAGATACAGAGAATTGTATATACAGCCTTATATTACACTGAGAACCTATAGAAACATCTCCTTACACTTATTGATTATTGCCTAATACTTGAAAAAAAATCACTACAAAAAAAAAAAAAATTAAGGCCCGCTGGGGGGACCGACCGACCAGCGTTGTGCATTGATGCCATCATGCTTTCCCCTTGCCGACGAAAAGCCTAGCAGGGGAGGATCCAAAGAGAAGAAACCATAAGGGTCCGCCTGCTAGGGTGTCAACTATATACTGGTTGTCCGTAACTGCCGACGTAGTTTGAGCACCAAACCAGTACCCATAGGCAACAGCCATTGCGTCATTGTCGTGGTATCCGAGGTTGGCGAATCCATCCAGTGTGTTATATCCATGCCGACTCCGGCATCCGTCTCCGATATCCGTCTCCAGTATTTGGTTTTTACGCAATGAAGATTTACTGAGTGTTTCCAATTACTCCGACTTATGATCTATGCAATCATCCATGCCTTGTTCGCAACTCCTCTTCTACTTTACTTGACTTTGTTCTAATCTTATTACTTACTTTA